AGAAAAATAAAGTAATTACATTCACGTAGGAATTGAGCATATTACTGACTTGAATCAGTGAAATGTATTAACTGACATTTAGTTGCATTACATTAGAAACAGACGAGGTTTATGTTATTTGCTGCTACAAGTCTTCAAATGGAAATAAAAATCCATGCACTAAATTCACTAATGTGCAGTGGAATTTAGCTCCTTTATTGCTGTGGCACAACACAATTATAATGTAGTTGATCTTAAATGTCACTTTGATAACCACAATACTCGTGAGAGGAGGAAGAAATAAGCCAAATATTTTATGGTTACACACCAGTATACCATGGCATCCTGGCTGAAATCCACTGCACTTATCATTTTTGTTATTAATATCTAGGAATCTATATATGAGATACATATAAAGCTATAAAATATATCCACAAGTTACTGGTTAAATACACTCACAAGCACAAGACAAGTTAAACAGCCGTCATCAAAACACAAAAGTTAAAAAAAGCCAACCGAGCTAGTTATTAAATACTTCTTTACCAATTTATGTCGTATGTGAATATTCTTCATCCCATTAGCACATGTCCCATGCTGAAGCATTAAAACATGAAAAACAGGATACTTTAAAGGTTTAGTCACAGTTAAGAGGCACTATTTTATGTCCAAACGTGTAAATTAGGATGAATTTGTTTTAGTTTTCATGTATTTTAAAATGAACTCACCTTAACATCCGTCTGTGAAGAACTCCTTCTGGCTGGCTGAGATTTAGATACTGCGCCGTCTCTGCTGAGTTCATCTTTAGACAAATTCTCATTCACTTCCATAGATTTATTCTCTGATTCAGCCGGTGTAGTTTTTAACTGGGCTGTGTCAGCAGTCGCTCCTGCTAGCTCCTCCTGTGTCTCCTGCTGGTTGTCTGAATCTGACGCAGTGTAGAGATCCTGCTCTTCCTCCCGCAGCTGAGCATCCGGCTCATCCTCACTGTAAGGAGGCTCGGCGGTGTGTAGTGTCTCCACAACCACCTTGGCCGGCTCTTCCCTGGGTCTGTTGGGCCGCCTCCGATGAACCTGGTTCCTGTGCAGTCTGCCATCGTCGGCTCGTGGCCTCAGGGCACGTTGCGGTGCGTCCCCTCCCGCTAAGTCGTCGTAGTCCTCGATCCCCTGGAGGTGACGCTGCGGTTGCTGCAGCGGCGGGGGAGGAGGTGGGTCTCTTCGATAGCGGCGGAAAGGCGCGGTGATGCCATGCTGGAAGGCCGCCTGCACGCCTCCATACATGCATACCTGTAGAAGAGTCACATAAATATACCAGTGTAGAGAAAAACTGTCTGATTTTATTTGTTTGTGTCAGTGATAATCTATCAAGGATCTTTACCACAATGGATAACACGATAGTGATGAGAACTGGGATCTGCAGGGTAATCGGTAGATCTTTGAGGAGGGCTCGTAGAAACTCACTGATCCCCTGGCCGAAGTGCTTCAGCGGCTCTGTGATGAAGGTTGTGATGGTAACTGAGATCGCCTAAACAGAAAAGTTCATTATGAAACTTTGAACATTTGTACACACACACAGATCATTTCAAACTAATGCCAGTTAGTCAGTCGTATAGTTTGGTTAACGATTATGTTGTATGAGAACAAATTTAGAATACACAGTGAAACGCTTCAGTCTATTTCCTCAATAAAAGCCTAAAACACACACAATATAGCAGAACACATAATGCCATAATAGTGACCTACCTTGGTAGGAGGTACCAGCAGAATAGGGTTGACCATGAGAAGTTCATAGTATTTCTTACAAGGGTCATCTTGAAGAGTCCAGGTGCTTCTGAACCACTCTGCAAAAAAAACAACCAAACACAGCAGATAAAGCTAATAAAGCAACTAAACAGAGTTAGTTCAGGGGAAACTAGTGGCTTTATTCAAAGGCTTAGTTGGCATTACGCAACTTAATTATCCCAAAGAAAATCTTACACAACACGGAAAGTAAAAGTCATTTAACCATTGCAAAAGATTGTGAATGTTGACCAGTGAGGGTAAACACACTCATATGTGTAGCAGCAGAAAGATAAACACCTGACCACAAATAATTAAACAATCCTCATCGTCCAGCCAAAACCACGTATCTCCAGATTAGTTGATTCTGAATTTGTTGAACAACTTTTTCTACCAACTATGTATTAGCTCACCTTTCAGGCTGTCACTCCAGTCAATTCTCCTCATTCCAGTGCATTTTTCATTGATGCCATCCAATTTCACCATTTTGCTTTGGTGCTCAGCAAAGGCAATCTGAAAGGGGAAAAAATGGTATTAAAAAACTTATCTGGCTAAAAAAGAAGCACTGAATAACTGCAGCGTGAGAGCAAGAGAGCTTAAAAAGCTCTTCTTCACCACCTTGTAGAGATAGAACCAGTTCCAGATAATACTGACGAAGAAGGAGACACCCATCATTCTCCTGAACTGCACGAACCAGGACACTGTTGACCACAGCTGAGTGCATATGATGGCCACTAAAATCAGAACCGACAGTCCGATCTGGAAGGAACAGAAAGAGCACAACTTCACCGGCGGCACGAGATGGAAAACCACTTATAACACAAAATATACATTAAAACATCAGTTATATTGCACGTGTTGTTATTGTATTGCGTTTCCAGTTTTTCTCAGACTTTGGATGAAATTATTTCGAATACAGGGACATGTAATGATCTCTCATTTGATCTAAATCTAAATCTAAAATGATAAATGAATAAACCTACTTTTATTACTGTGTCAAGCTCCACGCCAAAGTTGTCTTCAAAACGCCACTTCCACGCCTCGTAGTCGTGTGGTTTGAGATCCACCAGTATCTGACTGATAGCATTGTCCAGAGCTCCTGTTCTCCAGCTGTCTTCGCCATCCAGAAGCGTCTGAATCTCTGTAATAGATTGTCTGGACAGTTTGATTTTGGCATCATAGTGGATGTCCGTGGAGTCACTGGGCTGGGGATAAAGGAGGACAGGCGTGTTAAAATGGCAAAGCCCCAAGCAAGACGTATTCAAGAGCCACATAACACACAGCACAATGCATGTAAAAAGACTACACACCAAACCAACTCTTTGTATCTCCTTCAGGAGTCTGCTGAGAAATCGCTTGAACACTGGAGTGCAAGTCGGCTGCTGTGAGATGAGCGTGATTCTCTTCTTTTGGTCCTCAATCTGAATGAAAGCAAAGCACAGTATCTGTGAGTCTTGGCTAATCCCGTGAAGGTGGGTTTCCTCATTTATCGTAGAGATTCAGCGTCTTGTTAAAGCACAATCAGCAGGGCAGACGATGATGGACTTGTTCTTTCTGGTTGAAGGATGAAGAACAGTGTCTCTGATGTCTCGAGGTTTATAGGAGGATACTGGCAGCGTGGTGCCATCATTGTTGAGTTTTTAATGTTTCCCTACTCTTCCTGCAACTGGTAAAGCTAAACATGCAATGCATTGCTGTAACTGAATTGCTATCAAATGCTTTATACAACCAAACCACTAACCTGGTTCTTTAGATCCACTACCTGTCTGTCACACAGCGCCTTCTGGTCGGAGTCCTGAGTATACTCTCTTCTTTTGGTTGGCACATTGGAGTACTTTTCTGGCTGCAAGGCAAATGACACACACACTGATTACTCACCGCCACAACAGAAATGTCAACAAAGGCTTCAAAGCGATTAATAGCAACCTCTGCGGGCTTCTTCATCGTTTTGGTGGTCGCATCGTAGTTGAGCATGTCGTAAGGGTCTATCCAGTCGTCGTCCACCTGCTGTGCCGCGGCAGCCAGTAAAACGCTGCATACCAGGACACTGAGGAACATCCTGGCACAGAGAGGACGGCACTTCTCCCTACCAACCCTCCAGGGTTAAAGCTAGCTGGAGAGGAAGAAGAGCTGCACAAAACGACAGCAAGTCGAGTTACAGGCTAATGGTAGTTTAAGCAAGTTAGTTCAGTTTGAAAATAACTAACGTTAAACGGGACTGGACCACAGCTAATGCTAACTGCTATGCTGTCAGTGTTTCAGACCCACCGACTGTAATTACACTACAGCAAAGCGTAACCTGCAAGTTTGATTACCACACATCCGGGTCACCAACCGTTAAGGCAACGCAAACGACGTGCGTCGCGAAGGCTGACGGGAAATGTAGTTTTTAGAGAAAAAGTCGAGCATTGTCAGAATTCTGGGTTTGTTTGTTTTCGACCGACGTTATAATGATGTTATGTTAGGGCGTTTTCACACATAAAAG